ATCAGTTATGATTAGTTATGATCAATTATGATTAGTTATGATCAGTTATGATTAGTTATGATCAGTTATGATTAGTTATGATCAATTATGATTAGTTATGATTAGTTATGATCAGTTATGATTAGTTATGATCAGTGATGATTAGTTATGATCGTTATGATTAGATATGATCAATTATGATTAGTTATGATTAGTTATGATCAGTGATGATTAGTTACGATCAGTTATGATCAATTATGCTTAGTTATGATCAGTTATGATTAGTTATGATCAATTATGATTAGTTATGATCAGTGATGATTAGTTATTATCAGTTATGATTAGTTATGATCAATTATGATTAGTTATGATTAGTTATGATCAGTGATGATTAGTGATGATTAGTTATGATTAGTTATGATCAGTGATGATTAGTTATGATTAGTTATGATCAGTGATGATTAGTTATGATCAGTTATGATTAGTTATGATCAGTGATGATTAGTTATGATCATTATGATTAGATATGATCAATTATGATTAGTTATGATTAGTTATGATTAGTGATGATTAGTGATGATTAGTTATGATTAGTTATGATTAGTTATGATCATTATGATTAGTTATGATCAATTATGATTAGTTATGATTAGTGATGATTAGTGATGATTAGTTATGATTAGTTATGATCAGTGATGATTAGTTATGATCAGTTATGATTAGTTATGATCAGTGATGATTAGTTATTATCAGTTATGACTAGTTATGATCAATTGTGATTAGTTATGATTAGTTATGATCAGTGATGATTAGTTATTATCAGTTATGATTAGTTATGATCAATTTTGATTAGTAATGATTAGTTATGATCAGTTATGATTAGTTATGATCCACTGTGATTAGTTATGATCAGTGATGATTAGTGATGATTAGTTATGATCAGTTATGATTAGTTTTGATCAGTGATGATTAGTGATGATTAGTTATGATCAGTTATGATTAGTTATGATCAGTGATGATTAGTTATTTTCAGTTATGACTAGTTATGATCAATTGTGATTAGTTATGATTAGTTATGATCAGTGATGATTAGTTATTATCAGTTATGATTAGTTATGATCAATTTTGATTAGTAATGATTAGTTATGATCAGTTATGATTAGTTATGATCCATTGTGATTAGTTTTGATCAGTGATGATTAGTTATGATCAATTATGCTTAGTTATGATTAGTTATGATCAATTATGCTTAGTTATGATTAGTTATGATTCAGCACAAATGGAGCGTAAAAGATTTACACATTTTATTTTGTAGAGAAGTTAATGGCAGCACCGACTGAATGACCTCAGGGATGCATGTGAACAGCTTTTGTTAGTGAAAATGCACCTTTAGACGGCATCAGACCAATAAAACAAGCATGTAAACAAACCAGGAACCGTTTCTGGGTGAGAGAGGGGGTGAAACGGTCTGAAGAGGAGAGGAAATCCGTCCCGAGGTCTGAGAAAAGAAAATATGAACGTCTTAGAAAATCCTGAACAATGAATCCTGCAGGCTGGAGAAGAGAGGCGTCATCCGCTCGTTATCGGAGCGCGGCTCAAAAGCCAGCATCTGCCAGAGTGTGTGGGTGGGTGTGTGGGTGTGTCTGCGTGTGTGTGTGTGTACTTGTATATACTACATTCTGAGGACCATTTTGATTATTTTCACTACAAAGTGAGGACATTTTTTTGGTCCTCACTTTTTTAAAAGCTTACTACACCAGTCAGAGGTCTGGTGTGAATGAAGGTTTAATTAAGGTTAGGGTGGGTTAGGTAGTGGAGTCAGGAAGTCAATGGAGGGTCCTCACTATGATAGAAAGACAGGCATGGGTGTGCTCTACATGGCATGGGTAGCGTGTCAACGAGTACAGATTTTGGAGCAACACGCGTCGCTACTCAGATGGCATTTGTTTTCCTGGATTTATCCAGAATATCCTCCACATCCTCCAGGACCATCCCTGTCTCCCAGGACCGTCTCTGTCCACTAGGACCATCCCTGTGAAAAAAACTGATTATTTTAAAAAGACCCCAACTGAATAAAAACTGGAATCAGTCATCGAACGACTTAACTCTTTTTCTCAGCCTGTATTTGACTTTAATTAAGGAAATTAATTAGAGCTCTGATCAGCCAAGTGTCACTCCATTTATTTATTTATTCATTTATTCATTCATTCATTCATGCATTCTTTCATCTGCTGTAGTTTTACAAACTGCATCCATCCTTCCTCTCACTGTCATTACCTGGAAAATGACACGGATGGATTCTGTGACTTGCTCTTGTTTCAGCCTGCAGCCTTTTCTCACCATCTTGCTCTCCTGTCCCTCCAACCGTTAATAATCGCTATGGAAACCAGGAATTAGAAAGAACACTCGGCGTTTGAGTCCAGAAACGGATAAATTCAGGTTTTCTCTGGTGTGTCCCTCTGAAGTCTCATCGGAAACTGATTCTTGTTCAACTGTTGCTCCAAACGGATGAGACGGCCACAGAAACAACCCTTAGCTACGCTGTATTTCCCATCGAGTCCATTAAGGAGACGTCGCCAGAGGGAGCAGCAGGAAACTGGATTTCCCTCCAGAGTCAAGTCTTAATGAGTAAATAGAGAAAATGAAGTTTTAAATGTGGAGTGGGTTAGTTTTAATAAACTCCCGGGTCAGTTCCTCTGCGTGGGTGGTCAGGGTGAAGCTGCTCGTAGCTACCGAGCAGATGGAATCAGCTTCCTCTTGACCTCACATGTGCCCAACTCTGGTAACAACATGAAAAACCTTCATGTGTTCATCAGCCTTTGATCCAGTCTTTGTTATGCTGCACCTTCTGCACTGTAACTGCTAACCGTTAGACTTTATCTGCTTGTTAAATCTAAAATAATATCCACATTTCTTTGTTTGCTCGTCTTGCTTCTGTAAACACTTAGAATTGCCTTTGTGTTTGAAAGGTGCTACAAAATAAAGCTGCCTTTCCTTGCGTGTTTCTTCCAGTTGCACTATTTGTTTTTTTTTACAGGAAATAGTTGTTTTACTTTTTTTTTATTTTTTTTTTTGCTGACAGCTTCTTCAGAGCTAGCCGCTAACGGTGGCGTCACTTTCTTCTCCGTTTATCCGCGGGCAGCAGCGGGCGGTGTCGCCCTCTGCTGCTGACATAAGTATGGAGTCATTTACCAAATCCCACGCACCTCTGCTGTAAAACGTACACAGGAGAAACCGGACGCCAACTCAGCACATGAACGATAGAATATCCAGAGTGTGAGAGGGAAACAACCCGAAGACACGAGCAGTGAAGCAAGATGTAGAAAGTCCAATAATGAAATCAGCCGTAAAAGCTGCGCTGCTCTGGGTGGCTGCATGTTGGAGTAGCTCTGTTGACTGTATGTGGGTTTTGCCTTTTCTTGGGCATTTTTTTCTTCTAGGTTCTCAAGAAAAACTATTTTTTTGGACGCTTTGCTTTTCTGTTTCTGGTGCTGTGAAGCTTGGAGGACTTTTGCTGCTATTTTTTAGCTTTTTTCACTTTTTGAGCATTTGTTATGATGCGTAACCATGGCAACAAGCTGGTTTACAATCGGGAGCAGCTGATTAACATTGGAAAGGCTGAAATAATACCTCAACTGAAGCCACAAATCTCAAATGAGCTAAAACGCAAGAAGCGTGGGTGCAGAGCGGGAGCAAAACGGAGACAGAGAAAGAGGAAATTCAAACCATCTCTTCCATCGATCATAATGGGCAATGTGAGATCACTGGCCAACAAGATGGAGGAACACCAAGCCCTTTCAAGGACTCAGCCAGAGTTTCGGCAGTTTCGGAACCACTGGAGGAGATAATGCAAAGAAGGATTCTCCAGAGAATCAAGAAAATTACGGACAACCCTGAGCATTCTCTTCACAAGACTGTCCGACAACGGAAGAGTGTCTTCAGTCAGAGGCTTCTTCAGTTTGGCTGCAACACTGACCGCTACTGGAGATCCTTCCTGCCAACAGCCATTGTAATATACAACAACTCTTTGATGACTTGATTATTATTATTAATCCGAGCTACTACAGCAATCAATTTCCCTCTGGGATTAATAAAGTATTTTTGAATTGAATTGAATTGAATTGAAAAAGCCAAAGGAGAGAATCCGATCATGGACTGGGATGGCACACGGGCCATAAACACAAAACAACAAAAGTACAAAGGATGGAGCAAGGAAGCCGTAGAAGTACGGAGACGTGGACACAGCCGCCAACAGAGACGACGGGATCTGCACGTTGGATCACGCATGCTGTGTCATCAGCGAGGAGAGCGCGGGCAGCAGAGGACGACACCGGATAAAAGGAGAAGGAAGTGACGTCGCCGTTAGCGGCTAGCTCTGAAGAAGACCGCGGGATTGGTCGAAATGTCAGCAAGGTAAAAAAAAAAACCTTTCCTGTATTAAAAAGAACCAAATAACGCAACGAGAAGAAACACTCTGAATAACCGACCCAGGAGTTTATTTAAACTAACCTACTCCACATTTAAAATGTCCTTTTCTCTGTTTATTCATGAATATTTCAAGTCTGGAGGGACATCCAGTTTCCTGCTGCTCCCTCTGGCCATTTCGGTGCAAATGTTATAGAATCATTTCACATTTTTACAAGTTATTTAAAAGCTGTCGACAAAAACCAGCAGACGTTTAACATGTTTGATTTGGTCGGAGGTTTTGCGTATAAAACTTGTTAGATGAAGTTTTATTGCATCAACTTTTCTTTTAAATAATTGCACTTTTTTTTTAAACATTTTTCTGCTGATGTTTATTCTTAGGACAGTTTTGTTGGATCACCAGAGAAAATGACCATTCTTAGGATGTTTTTACATTTGAATGCATTGGATGAGTTTTAATGTTTATTATTATAAAAAGTTAGAAACAGGATCAGACTCTAAAGCGTTCAGACGTAGAGGATGGAGGATTTATTTTTAGAATTGCGTTTCTGAGCTTTTTCGTCTGAGGTTTTCTCATCACAGCCGACTGATTTCAGCCGTAAAGAACCAGGCGACTGGACACTACATCCTGAACGGGAAGGGAGACGAGCTCCGGTCCAGGAACTTCATCGACCTGGGTGTGGAGTGGAATTACGTCATCGAAGGGGACATGGAGACGCTGCACACCGAAGGACCTCTTCACGACCCCGTGGTGGTTCTGGTAAGAGCTCCTCCGCCATCACTAAACCCTGTTTGACTCTTTAATGATGTCACGTGCAGACAGGAGCAGCAGCAAACATCCAGTAGTTAATATGAGAAACAGGAAGTTCTATTTCTGCTGATGATGCAGATGGTTTATTACCCGCAGCAACAAGTTTAGGGTTTATTATTAAGTCTGATCGCAGCCAGTCCTCCTGCATCGTCTCCCCCCATCTGCACCAGCAGGATTTATTGAGTCCTTGTTGAACAAAACAACAACAAACATGCTTGACTTTATGCAGGCAGGAGACAAATCCACTCCTCGGATTAAAATAACAAACATGTTTGTTCACTTTAGTTCCTGATATTTTCCTTAGATACCAGTAACTCAGAAACAGTAAAACCCTTCTACCAATTATTTCTGGCTGAATTCAATAAAAATATTATTTTTATTAATACTACTATTACTTAATAATTCATTTTAAATGTACATTTTCTAACCCCAGCCAGCAACACTCAAAAACCAAACTGCCACAGTACCAACGAATCACCACAAGCCACGTCCACAAACCTCTAAAAGACAAACACGGGCCAGGCTGTAAAAACACAATACTCATTTAAAACACCAGATCCAACCTCCTCCGAAGAGTCCAGATTATCCTGGACAAGCCCCCATTTTTTACGACCCAGCTCGTGGGATTGCAACACAAGGAGGAGATTAGGACACATTTTGGGAGAAAAGAGTATTTTGCACTTTAAAGTCTTGTTCCCGAGTATTTCTCTTATGTTTTCATCTTTTTATTAGGCACTATTGTCATTTAACAACCTCATTTAGTCTTGTTGATTCCAGAATATGTGAAAGGCGATGACCATTTGTTTCAGGGGAACAAACAATCGTTTTATGCTGTAACATGTGTTGCATTGATACTTGTGAAATCTGTAAATAATTTTGAGAAAACCTAACAGGGTCTTGCTAGCGCTGCTGCGAAAGAAGCATGGCGTCTGACTCTTTTCCTTGATATCTCCCTCTTCCAGCTCCAGCTCTAGTTCCAGTCTTTAAGTCCAGTTTGGTACCAGGCTGTAACACAAACATATCACACAAAATGTCCGTCGCTCTGTGTTTTTTAAGATGGCGACTTCACGTTTCTGTTTATAAATGTGCTTCTGTAGCCAACAAACAGCTAAAACACGTTGTCTTACGAGTATTATTCTCATGTCATGTTGTGTTTTCATATTTTTATGTTTTAGAGACTTACTCGTTCGTGAAAAGTTCACCAACTCTGCATCAGCCGAGGTATTCCTTAATTGTGAAGTATCTAAGCGGTAGTCTAACACTATTGGTTAGTTCTGGTCGGCGCTCAGTTTCCTATTGCGCGGAGCTCTGCGGGGTGGGGGGCATGCGTAGCAAAAAAAAAGACGTATTGCTTACATCATATTACAGTACATTGATTCCAATTCTCGTGCTGCTCTGGGTGGCTGCATGTTGTAGTAGTTCTGTTAACTACATGTAAGTTTTGCCTTTTTTGGACAGTTTTTCTTCTAGTGTCTTAAGAAAAACTGTATTCTTTTGGACCTTTTACTTTTCTGTTTCTGGTGCTGTGAAGCTTAGAGGATTTTTCTGCTATTTTTTCACTTTTTGAGCATTTGGGACCTGAAAAGGCTCAACAGCCTAATAAAAAAGGCCGGTTCTGTTCTGGGGACGAATGTGGAACTGCTGGAGGAGATAATACAAAGAAGGATCCTCCAGAGAATCAAGAACATGATGGACAACCCTGAGCATTCTCTTCACAAGACTGTCCGACAACGGGAGAGTGTCTTCAGTCAGAGGCTTCTTCAGTTTGGCTGCAACACTGACCGCTACTGGAGATCCTTCCTGCCAACAGCCATCGTAATATACAACAACTCTTTGATGACTTGATTATTATTATTATTCTGAGCTACTACAGCAATCAATTTCCCTCTGGGATTAATAAAGTATTTTTGAATTGAATTTTAATTGAATTGAATTGAATGATGAGACCATCACTTTTACGGATTTCTGAAAAACCAGACATCATTTCTGAAAGTGGAAAACTCCGGAAAGCTGCTTTAAGATCAGCCTCCAAAAGGCCTGACCGACCGCCACACAGACAGAGCTGTGGAGGAGGTCTCTCTAATCAGTCTCATCCCTTTGGAGTTGCACCAAACAGCCTTTATGCTGCACCCGTAGGTGCAGCCACTTTTGATCATGACAGTCTACACAAAGGGGCGTGGGCTTGGGCATCCGAAGCAGCCAATCAGCTGGTCGCACTGGCACAGCAAACTGTGTTTGTCAGGTGGGTGCATGGTTTCTCTCGTTTCAGGAGCTGTAACACCTCGTGTTAAATATCCCTACATTTCCTAGGTTATGGAAAATAACGTTTTTCACAAACCGCTTTTCTAACAACAAGGTTGAGTCCTAAAGCATCAATCGGAGACCAGAAGATATGAACTAGTTCTCTGCTCATCAAATGAAACAGAACCGAGCCTGGAAAAGGCGTGGCTGCTTATGGACTATAAAAGCCTTTAAATTACAAATAAAAGTTATTTTCTTTCACCAAATTAAAGCTATTCAGACTGTTTTAGGCTAAATGTGCAAAAGTACAGAACAGAAGCGTGTCTGTTGTTCTGAAGTCAGGTCTGCAGAAGTGAAGCGAAGTTTTTGCCCAGAAGACTCGAGTTTCCAGTTGAACCATCTCTCTGCAATCTGTGTGTTATCCATCTGCCAGGCATCAGATTTAAGGCTCGCTGAGTCCAGAAAGGCTCAGTTTGATTAAAGTAATTAAATCCGGCAGCCTGAAGCGAGGATACAAACATTCCCCGTGTGGTTCCTTCATCCGCTAAAAAACAGAGAACAACGAGTTTAGAAAGTTAATGATTTCTTCAAAGGCTTTTGCTTGTTTTTATTTATTTATCTGTTTTTATTACACACAACGGCTCGTAGTGTTTATTAACACAACAATCATTGATTTATTAGATATTCCTGCTCTTTTCTAACATCAGAATCACTCAGGAACCTGAAACTAAACCTGTTGTTTTCCGACAAGTTGATCAGAAACGCAGTCAGCAGAACTCCACTGAAGGCAGTGCTGGACTGACCATAGGGCATAGCGGGCAACTGCCCGCTGGGCCGACCCTTTCATCTTTTATGGGCCGGTGTCTGTTTTTTTTTTTTTTTTTTTTTTTTCCTGGCCTCTAGTTGTTGCGGACAACTTGCCCGCGCCGCCCCACGCGACGCCTCGTAAAAGTTGGTGGATTGGCCAATTGGTAATAATACACTCTGGGCTGGACCAATAGCCAGAGGTCTGATGCACCCGCCAGTTGTTTGTGAATCTCCGTAAACAGACAGACGAGCTTAACAAAATGGAGAACAAAAAACGGAAAGGAGGAGCGGAGAAAATTCGACTAAAAAAGAAACTGGCCCTTCAGGCTGATGCTGGCACATGTGTTAAAATCTCACAGTTGTTTGGTAGTGAAGGTTCAAGTAAAATCAATTTAGGAAGTGATGGAGCCTCAGCCCAGCGACAGGTTGGAGAAGAAAAGAGGGAGGAGGAGGAGAAACCCGAGCCGGTGTTGTGCCATAAATTGACTCGCTGCCAAAAAATGATTAGCCACCGCGGGATCGCGCACGGTTAGGCAATTGCATTTCTAGACAAAATTCCCCAGGATTTCGCCCTAAAACTCAGCATATCTAGCAATATGGACATTCAGAAAGCAAAGATAACCTCTTCCGGAACTTAAACAGATGTTTATCGCGGATATTAGTGTGGCAGTGTTTGTGGCAGCCTGCGCGGGAGCACGAGGACGTGCTTGTGGGAAGAGGGAGGAAGATGTGGCAGTGTGAGCATCCACAATGTCCCGATTGATGATGCGCCCTGGCTATTTGGCCAAGGATATGTCCCTTTGGCTGACTAGTTAAAGCTTATGACTTTCACCCGGGAGTCTGGGGATCGAATCCCGCCCGGGCACTCCTTTCTGCACCTTGCCACATTAGTTTTTCCAGTTCGGAAGTTGTTGCTATTTATCTTAAACGTTCACAATGAGGATATATTAATCCTTTTTGCAATATTTGCGATTGAAAGATGGTTTGTGCCTCAAACTTTGTGGTAAGAACTGGCTTTCTTTATGTTACAGCCTTGATACTAAAAAAATAAATAAACAATGTAAAATGGTGCCCTGTATTGAATGTAAACGTTGTATTAATGGAAATAAACAATTCTCCAGCGATTGCATTTTTTCCCCCTTCCTTTCTTTAGTCCACTTGACATGGAGCCACAGTTAACTAGTTTGGGGCACATTTTTACTTGAAAAATAGTATTTAAAATGATCAAGCTTTGGCTTTACAATGACACTGTGTAGGTTGCTATTCATTACGTTGCTCTATTTAAAAGTAACAAGATAAAAGCACTTCAGCACATAAAATTAAGATTGTCACTTGCAAAATAGACTACACCCTCCCGTTTACCTATAAGAAATGCCTCAAAATATCTTTAAATTCTTTATTGATGATTTAATTGTAGACAACTAAAATGGCATTTTACTTGCCAAAAAGTGATTGAATCGCTAAGATTTTCATGGAGGCTAAAATTGACCAAATAAGGGTTTTATGTATTATCTGTTGACGTTACTGTACTCATATTGCCTACTGTATCATCAAAAACACCCCAAAAATGGCAAAAAAAATAAAAAAAGAAGATAATTTCCCTTGCCAAAAATTGATTACAGTGTCCTGGTCACGTGTAAAGGGTTACATTTACCTAAATATTACTTTATTTATTATCTCTTGATGTTATTAGTGCCATCACAGGATGCCGGTGTCTTTCACATTCATAAACACCTCAAAAATGGCAACAAATGATCATTTCCCTTGCCAAAAATTGATTACAGTGTCCTGGTCATGTGTAAAGGGTTAAATTGACCTAAATATTACCTTATTTATTATCTCTTGATGTTATTAGTGCCATCACAGGATGCTGGGTGTCTTCCACATTCATAAACACAGTCCTGGTCACCCATAAAGGCTTAAATTGGCATAAATATTACTTCATGTATTATGATGCTGGGTGTGTTCCACAATCATATTCGAATAAACGTGAAAATATTCTGTCCGAATATCTGTTTCTTGTTATAAATATAACAGCTAGAAGGATTTACAGTTAAAATAGGAGAAACACGTGACTCCCCAGGAAGGGTCGTAACACCACTCGCCTCACGCATAAGTGAACAAAACAAAGCAGCATGGAGACACTCCGTCTCCAACCACCTCTCAGGCAGCAGCCTGCACTCCCAAGTTCTACACGTCACCAGAACATAACCAACCGCAACACAATAAAAGCAGTGTTTTACAAAATGGAAGGCCTGTAGTGTTTATTCTCTTACAGTAACGACTTATCAATTTTTTGGAGGAATTTATTTGAGAATGTTTTGGTTTTTATTAATTGTGCAATAGAAAAGTAATCGCTAGATTAATCATCTAAATAGTCATTAGAATAGTCGACTATTCGATAAAATAATCGTCAGAATAATCATTTTAAAAATAATCAGTTACCCCCAACCCTACTTTTTAGAATACCAGGATAGGAAGGATGGTGTAGGTTTACGTTTATTAGATTGATACATAAATACTACCAATAAGAAAGTGTACGTTGGTGTGTGTCAGAAACAGCATAAGGCTTAATGCCTTTTCCAAAAAAAACAGGTGATGGGCCAGTCTCCAGTCAAAATGCCCGGGCTGAATTTTTGTCCCAGTCCAGCCCTGACTGAAGGTTACTTTTCTGATCAGCAGGGTTAGGATTAGGGTTTGGGTTAGGGTTTGGGGGTTTTGGGATGGTCACATCTAATGTTGTCCTCCCAGCTGAGGACATTTTCTCATTGTCATGGGCGTAATTTGGGGGGGGGGGTGTCCCCCCACTTTTTCCAAAGTCAAGTTTTGACCCCTGCACTTTTTACCATCCAAAAACAATATTACTCTATATTAAACTGACACTGGTTGAGCTCTAGGACCAAGCGGAAAACAATCATTTGTGTTGAAGCCTGTTTCTCAACATACTGTAAAGATACAGACCCCCACCCCCTTCCCCAGTGTCCCCTCCACTTCTAAAGTGAAAATTACGTCCTTGCTCATTATAGACGTAGATTGTTCAACTGTTACCGGCACATATGATTACCGCTAGCTTGTTCAAACTGTGGCCAGCTCCAGGCTCTGATTGGTTCTTTTCTCGTCTAGTCCTGCCTCTCCCAATTACTTATTGATTATTTTTTCCCTTCACACATCTTTTCCAATCTCTGATTGGATTTTTGTTGATGCCAGTTATCGATGTTGCAACCTATTATTGTGACCTTCAGCCCCAAAAAGCAACAAATGAAGCTAAACTTGTGTTTCCAGAACTATGCAGCGTAAAGGACAGGAGGATTTTTTCTAAAGATGCTCTAATACGCAGTCGTAAGATGCAAACTCGACCAAAATAAATAAAAATGAAACATTTTAGGGATCCTTCTCATCCTTTTTCACGTCCAGTTTGGAGATTAAAACAGATTTGTGCAAATGTGGTCCAGAGGATGATGTCATCAACGGTGAGATCAGCTGTTTCACACAGTATACGTCCGTCTCGTGATGCATTTTATCTCATTGTCTGCTGTAAACTGAATGAAATCGATTTTCTCCTGCTGGTGAAAAACAGAAACATCAGAAATGGTAAAGATGATCTGGGCGGAGCTTTGAGCACCATCCAGATGCTGACTGCAGGTTAGGAGACTGAACAAACGCCCGCCGATGCTCCCGTTGGGTTGTACCATTGTGGGATGTTTTAGGGAAGGAACCGGCTGATTCTGAGGCAGCTGCGTCTGGTTTTGTCTAAAACCAAAAAGCGGCTCAGCGAGCCGTTTATATTCAGCTGCAGAGAAAAGCTGATTTATATACGTTCTGTATGGCTCTATGCAGGCTTTTAGGCTCATTATACCCTTGAAAAGCCTTTTGATTCCCAGCAGAACCATTATTTACCCGTCCATCATCAGCACTCAGTCATGCTCGTACATCTGCGAGTCCTGACTTCTCTGAGTGGAGAAAATGGATTGGACTCCAGAAACTGACTGAATAAACTTGTGTTCATGTTGTTTTTAATAATCATATAAGCTGAAATCTCCTCCCTTACGCAGAAGCTCGCCTGTCATGCAACAGTGTCCCTAATCTGGTGAAACTTTAATACAGATTAAGTCCATCATGAGGTTTGAAAGTACAGACATAAATAAAATCCAACAAAAATGAATCTTTAGTTTCCACTGCTTCACGTCACGGCTCGTTTAAATCATTAAATGAGCATCAGAGACGCATTTCCTTCATGTCCTTTAACATGATCTCTTCTGTTTTCGGGTTGTAGATCATACCCAAGGACAACGACACGCGGTCTACTCTGACCTATAGATACATAATCCACGAAGATTCGGTACCAGTCAACAACAACAACGTCATCCAGGAGGAAACCTACGAGTGGGCTCTGAAGAGCTGGTCTCCGTGCTCCAAACCCTGCTCCGGAGGTAAAAACAGCTCATTAACATTTCAATAAGAATGTCGAGAAAAGTTTGTCTCAGAACTCAGATTTTTCTTTTCTCAAACAACGGTTTGTGTCCTCCAAGCTGAATCTTAGCAGCACAATATGGACGGGTGTCAGCATTGACCGGAGCGACAGGAATGTGAATCCCAAATGAGTCCTTCTTGGAGCCTTTTATCCTTCTTGGGATTTAGCTAGCAGAACAGAAGAATATTTTTATGTTCACCATGGTTGTGTTAAGCTTGGTTTATGCTTGACGCGTCCGCGAGGTTCGCACGGCTCCACGCAGCAAAATTGTGTCATTTTCACAACCACGCCCCTCCACCTGGCCTCCGCACGGCCCAAACTTTCCGCGCCGTGCACCTAGGAAATTTTCTAACCACGCGGACGGTCGAACACGCAAAAACATGGCGGACTGGCAAGAACTAGTTATGGCAGAGTTTGTAAATACAGACGTTTGTATGATTCAGCTCTCAAAGATCACCGTGATCAACATGTTGTTAATAATTCTCGGAGAGAAATAGCTCGCACTGTCGGAAAAGACGAGGACGCTGTTAAAAAAAATGCTGGAAAAACACGAGGGACCAATATGTGAAGGCAAGGAAGGGGAACAAACGGAAAAGCGGTGATCCTGGTGGAAACAAGAACACTCCACCAATTCTAAAAGACATGAGTTGGCTCTCACCTTTCATTAACAACTGTTATAAACAACAGTAATTTCTACTTCTACTGTGGTGTAGTGTTGGATGCATGCCGTGGAGCTCCATGCTGCCCCCTACAGTTTGGGAGAATATTGGCTCACCGCAGAGACGAGCCGCATGAACCATAAACGCTGCGAGTTGTGAAGCGCGTTCCATCCGCGAGCCGCATCACCAAGCGAAAAGTGAATGCGTCAAGCGTAAACCAAGCTCTACTCAGAGTCACAGATCAAGTCTTACACGGTTTCTATGGGAACCAGCTTTTACTGGCTGGTGTTTCCCCAATATGGCCGACGTTTTACAGTTTTTCTCCATTGGTTTGGCCCATTTCTTGAAACAGAAATTACATTCTCAAACCTCTAAGATCATTTGGCAAACACTTACAGTTTGGCACAACACTTTAGCTCACCTGCAAAAGCTCATATCTCTTCCTGAACTGTTCACTCAGGCTTCAATCTGAATCCCTTTCTCATTTAAACAGTCAGTGTCTCCAAAACGGCAAAGATCTTTCTCAATAGCTTTGGCTCATTTCTCGACACAGATCGGACATTCTCATCATTCTTGGTGCTTCTGTCAAAGTAAGCCTGGATGGTCGATCACAACAACATGGTTTACCTGCAAATGAGTACTGCCGTACAGAATGTTTAGATGTTTTGTCACTATGGCAGAGGACCAACAATATAAAACCGAAAAGAGTAGCCTCCAAGGTCTGACATCAGAGATTGCACTCACACTACCAAGGAAATTATAACCATTTTTATTCACACGCAAAGAAAGTTTCATACATATGTAAAAATAAAATGTACATTACAGTAATACAGTCAATTGTATGAACACTAAATCAAACAACAAGGATGTATTCAGTGGTCGTTGGTCAAGCGCTATATATCTGTGTTTGGCAGCACACGATCATGGAAAACATCCATGTGTGACACTCTCCATTCACCTGACTGTCGATGACTGTCATCAATGTATCACATATTCAAAGAAATTCATACATGGTATTCTTGGTGTTATGTTCTTGGATTCTGACAATTGAACAGACAGTTGTGCGTGCGAGTACTTATACAATGAAATCATGCTGACATGTTTTGGAGAGAATGATCATTAGACTGAGAATCAACTAATCTGTTTGGATCTACAACATCTATTCATTTGGAAAATGTGCTAAATGCGGGCTAACTGTATAACTGTAGGCTACATTTACTTAATCATTTGCAACGATGCACTGAGACAATTGAGACATGTACTAAGGCATTTGCCATTTGTGAACATTTGCCAAGAGGTTTGGAGGTTTGTCCATGTTGTTTTGAGAATGTAATTTCTGTTTCAAAAAATGAGCCAAACCAATGGAGAAAAACTGTAAATCAACACTGAGACCTTCAGCCTTCTATGCTTATTTAGTACTGCATATATAATATAATATAATATAATATAATATAATATAATAATAAAATATAATATAATGTAATATAAAATAATATATAATATAATATATTTATAATATAATATAATATGTCATATATAATATAATAATATAATATAATTATAATATAAAATAATATCATATAATATCATATAGTATATAATATAATATAATTATAACATAAAATCATATATAATATAATTATAATATAATATAGTATATAATATAATATAATTATAATATAAAATAATGTATTATATATTTATAATATAATATAATAATATATTTATAATATAATATAATAATAATATATCATATTTAATATATAATATAATATATAATATAATATAATATAATATAATATAATATAATATAGTTCTAATATAATATAAATAATATCATATAATAAGCTGGGGTGTTTTTTTTCTCCTCATCGCTCCCTAAAGCTGCCGATGATGTGTGACGGTTTTCTGAAAAAGTTCCCAAAATAATTTCCTCTAAAATAGAAATGAACCTGACCTGGGACCAGCTGGGCTCGGTTCAGCCCAGAGGTCAGTGGGTCTGGATCTGCTGCTTCATTTAGAAAATGTGTTTATAAATGCTTCTGTGTCTCTGAATGAACAGCGCATGACATCATGAGTTATAATTAGCTTATCCGTCTGAGTGCCTCCTCTCCTTCTGAGAAGGCGTGTCAGCGTTTGCTTCGACTCGTGTAGAGTCAGACACGTCCTCCATGAGATCTCTGAAGCCGTTTATCTCAGCTGTGGAGAAGCTGAAGCAGGACTTCTGCATTTTCATTGGTGCAGATGTTTTGACTCGTTACAGTCACAAACCCACAGGATGAACACAAGTTCATCATCAGAAAGGTCAGATTGTCTCCACCGGCTGCAGCTGCTGAGGGAGCTTCACGCTTTTTGCAAGTTTGGTCCAACCTTTCTGCAGCGGTGTGGCGCCGTGCTCCTCAGGAGCCGCTGTGACCTTTCTGGAGCTCCGAGCGTCTTTGTTTTCTCTTTTGGATTTCTCTAAAAATGGGACCCTTTAGGACGCTAGTGCATATTTAATAAATGATAAGTCTAGTCTAGCCTTTCTCCATTAAAACTTCAAATTGATTTAAAAGGGAGCAAGAGTGTTCTCACTATGTGTCGACAGGGGCGTCCAATTCTGGTCCTCCCGGGCCACCGTCCAGCATGCGTTTCTCTACTACATACCTCCTGATTTTATTGAGCAGGTGATTAACAGGCTGAACAGGTGGTTGAGTCACTGAATCAGGTGTGTGGAGCAGAGAAACAACATGGTGGATAGGTGCCCTCATTTGTCAGCCATGCTTGCGCTCGGATCTGTGCGTATCCGTGTGTGGGAACAATCGTACACACCATGTGGAATTTCCCACCTTGTGGTTGTGTGTAGAAATGTTCCCACACATAAGAACGGCTCTGAACATGCGTATGAACAGCCTCTAGTGGTAGAACGGCGGAACCACAACACTGGTCTCAGCAGTCCGCCATTTATTTTTACCCAATCAGTAAGGATGTCTGTAGAGAGACACCTTCATCACATATCTGCTGTTGAACCTATGAAGACACCTGTGACCCACGGGAATCTGATGCCGCAGCATGGCTGATCTGGTGCTGTTGGAGGATCTGCCAGAGCGTGTACTCCAGAGGGAACATGTTTTCCGTGAGCGCTCAGATCTCATTGGTGGGAATCCAGAGGGGCTCCTGAGCAGATACCGCTTCCTGAAGGACATCCTTCGGGATATATGCCAGGATTTGGGAGCCTTTGTGGATCCACAGACAAACCGCACCAATCCCATTCCAGTCCAGGGTATCCGCGGGTCCTTAAAAAGTCTTAAAAAGTCTTAAATTTCGTCTCGTCTTCCTCCGCTTATCCGGGTCCGGGTCGCGGGGGCAGCATCCCAACTAGGGAGCTCCAGGCCGTCCTCTCCCCGGCCTTGTCCACCAGCTCCTCCGGCAGGACCCCAAGGCGTTCCCGGACCAGATTGGAGATGTAACCTCTCCAACGTGTCCTGGGTCGACCCGGGGGCCTTCTGCCGGCAGGACATGCCCGAAACACCTCCCCGGGGAGGCGTCCAGGAGGCATCCTGACCAGATGCCCAAACCACCTCAACTGGCTCCTTTCGATCCGGAGGAGCAGCGGTTCTACTCCGAGTCCCTCCCGAATGTCCGAGCTCCTCACCCTATCTCTAAGGCTGAGCCCGGCCACCCTACGGAGGAAACTCATTTCGGCCGCTTGTATCCGCGATCTCGTTCTTTCGGTCATTACCCAAAGCTCATGACCATAGGTGCCTTAAGTCTTAAATTTGCTTTTCCAAATTTAAGGCCTTAAAAATAACTAATAATCCTTAAATACAGTTTCCAAAGGTCTTAAATTACCAAAGACCCAATAAACAAGATTATTTTATTTCAATTTTCATGAATTTCTAGTTAGTGTTCAGCATTTTTTGTGTACGATGTTGGCGTAAGCGGAACCATACACATTCAGTTGGTTATGAAACGGGGCTTTTTTAGATTAGCACATTAGCTGTTTAAGCCAGTGGGAGATTGCGCCATGGGGACGTGCAACTTTTACGGTAACTGGATGGCTATTCCCACGTTCGCAACGTGGTTAGCACCGGTTCCAGGCAATACCTGGAAATTATAGTTAAAATAAAATTTTTAAAAATTGCTTACATTTGGTCAAAGTGGCCTTAAAAAGGTCTTAAAAAGTCTTAAATTTGGCTCCCTTAAACCTGCAGATACCCTGCCAGTCCCGCATCAGTTATTGACAACTTTGTGGTTTCTTTCAGGATTTTGGCCGCTTGTACGAACATCATTTGTAGGATGGATTATAGGATTATTATATTAATGTTTATTAATAAAATATTCATAAACCTGTAAATTACTAAATGTTCTTATCTCAGGTCTGTGGGAAAACTAGACACCGATAGATTTGTGTCTGTCTCTACAGACTCGAGACTTGACCTGAACTTGGGTGTAGACGACTGGTCAACACAGTAGTAGTACTGGGCTAATTGGTCTTAGTCAGATTTGTTGTTTGTTCTAATTAATCATTAGATAAATGTTCTAATCAGAATATATTAGTCGTCTTCATATTTTTGATTTTAAAAAGGATGAAGGTAGAAAAACACATTTAGAAGCATGAAGTGCTGCTGGGTGAAGACATTCCTGGTGTGGAGCAGATGTTAGCGACACTTTTCCTCCAGACTAAAACTGGTTAAGCCAAGAATTCATTTTTCTGAGTGAATTAAACAAATCAGGACTGAGGAACCTGTTCAGAGTGTCAAACTTTCTGTTCTTTCTCAGGGTTTCAGTACACCAAGTACGGCTGTCGCAAGAAAGGAGACACCAACATGGTTCACCGAGGATACTGCGACGTAAACAAGAAGCCCAAACCGATCCGGAGGATGTGCAACCTTCAGGACTGCACGCAGCCTCAGTGAGTCCAGAGTCCAACCGCCACAGGAGGTTCAGATAAAGCTGTTAAACCAGCCTCTCTCAGCAGGAGCTGAGTTTAAACGGTCTGCTTTTTATCTCCTTTGCCCGTGGTTGATCGGAAAATAAGTGCAAATAAGAACTTCATAACTACAAATCTGGTCTGTTCCATCGAGATGTGAGCGGTGAGCAAAGCACGGTAGACTCTTTAGAAGGAAAACTGTTTTTTACAAACCCAAAAGTTGAGTTGGACCATAACGACATGAAAACCACATAATAGCACAATAACGTGATGACACGATAACGACAACACAATAACTGCATGATAATAATACGGTAATAGCGCAATAACAACATACTGACAGGTAACGACATGATACCAACATAACCACATGATAACGATAAAAAAATGGCAACAATGATGACACAATAACTGGTCTGTGTGGATGCACAGTTGTTAGCACTGTTGCCTCACAGCAAGAAGGTTGCAGGTTCAAAACTCAGCTGCAGCCTTTCTGTGTGGAGTGCCATGTTCTCCCCATGCATGTGTGGGTTTCCTCTGGGTACTCCGGATTCCCTCGCAGATCACAACATGCCCTTTAGGTCAACCATTGTACGTTGCTTTGGACAAAAGTGTCTGCCAAATAAATAAACAAACACAATAACGACATGATAATGACGCAGAAACAACATGGTGACACGATAATTACACGATAACGACATAACGATATAATAATGACATCAATATTGACACAAAAACAACACGATAACGTAACAAAAGAATATTGGAGCAATAACAACATAATAATGACACAGTAACAACATGGTGACACGATAATTACACGATAACAACATAACGATATAATAATGACATCAATATTGACACAAAAACAACACGATAACGTAACAAAAGATATTGGAACAATAACAACATGATAATGACACAGTAACAACATGGTGACACGATAATTACACGATAACGACATAACGATATAATAATGACATCAATATTGACACAAAAACAACACGATAATGTAACAAAAGAATATTGGAACAATAACAACATGACAATGACACAGTAACAACATGGTGACACGATAATTACACGATAACGACATAATGATATAATAATGGCATCAATATTGACACAAAAACAACACGATAATGTAACGATAGAATACTGGGACAATAACAACATGATAATGACGCAGTAACAACATGGTGACACGATAATTACACGATAACGACAACGATATAATAATGGCATCAATATTGACACAAAAACAACACGACTTTGCTGATTCATGTCTGAAATATTTCCAGGAAAGAACGTTTTGTTAGCCGCCGCTTATGCATCCGGTGGAAAGGAGGAGCACATAATGAGATCTTCCTGCTGCCAAACAGCGGGATTAATTCTTCATGAGTTCTTCATGCCAGCACTGAAGCAGTGTTTGAGTTTAAAGGAAGGAAAGTCTGACAAACTGAATGACTCCGGCGTTGTTGAACAGCAGCTGATCTATAAAAACTACTGGCATGTTTTTAAAGTTTTCCACGAATGACTGAACAACCTGTTTGTTCTGTCCTAATGCAGATGTTTGATTGTGATCTGTGGAGGTAAATCTGAGTAAAGGTGCAAAGGCTTACGTCACGACTTGGCCGCTCCGGTCATCAAAGCATGGTCGGCTAGTAGTGCCTACACCACGCTCAGGACAATCCAGACTCTCTGTGTCGTTCCACAGATGTGGAAGGACCTACCACGCTCTACCAGAACAGGGGCTTCCTTGTTGATTTTCAAGAAACTCCTGAGCATCTTCTAAACTGCTTCTAAAGCCTGAGTCATGCTTCTGCGTCTGCGTCAGTACGGAGACTCACAACGCCATTATCCGTCCTTGCGCAGGCCCCCCGGCAGGCACGCAAGTACGTACGGAGTTGAGCCATCTTTCCTCAACATCCGTCAAACGAGACGGAGAACGCATGCTTGTGATTGGTCGGTCCAGAAACATGAGATCACCTCCTCAAAGGTTGCACAAGTCCTGAAAATGTGCCTGTGTTCTGCCTAGACCTGTTTAGCGGATGGACATCCCACCAACGCTGCTGTCTCCTTCTGGGCTCTCGCTGGTATTTCAGCACGATGAGCATTTCTTCCTCTAGACCACACAGTGCCAACTCGATCAAACTTCTCTTCCTCGTGTTGTTTGCCATTTTCAGACTGCGGAAGTGATTTCCAAGGAATCAAATCAAATCAAAGATACTTTATTAATCCCAGAGGGAAATTAGAGTTTCAGTACACACAATTCAGAGATCAGACATACATGGGCAAGACACATGACAAGAATTGGTGACTGTGGTCATTCGCAACCCTGAGTCGCGCTACCTTAATAGAGATAAGAGGGTTACATGAGGATTGGTTCAGGTGGAGGGAAAAAAGGCACTTCAGAGTTACCCTCCACCAGGAGGACAGCTTTGCTCTGCAAAAAAAAAAAAAACACCTCAAACATATATGCAACAGACTTCAGACATTACACAACATAAGTGTCCTCTAGGAGGGGTGGTGGGTTGGGACTATCCCCACTTCAGTTCCTGCAGCCACGATAAGCAGCGCATGTCACCTCAGTGTGGATAGGGGAGGAGCATTGAGGGTTGGAGGGTTGCAGTGACCCTGGAACGTTTCAGCGGCCTTCCCGCAGTCCCGCCCAGGCTGGGAAAGAAGACAGAGTTGAGTTGCTGTAGTGACGGCACATTCCACATATCTTCTGAGGGGGGAGTTTTCGTTGGAGTCTTGCAGGCTCAAGGGCACCAGATTCCGATTAGAAATTGATTTGGGGCCAGACAGAGATAATTTCCTCTCTGTCTTACAGTTCCTTGGTCCTCAACCTCTCAAAATCCCAATAATGGACATTAATCTATCCCAATCCGTGCTGATTCGTCCACTCTATCCTTGATGGCATCCATCTTTTGTGCCAATAATGAATCTTGGCCAAAGTCCCAAGCTTACGATTCATCTCGGCAATTATGTGAGTCTGTGAATTCACAGCGCGGTGCAAAACATCTCTGAGCTCCGGGACGTAAGACGTCACTGTACTGCTACCTACGCTACGCCCTCTGTTGTCCTGGCAGAAAATTGCTTTGCAACACCCCTTCAGCAAACGGGGAAGTATGAGAGAGAGCAAAACGCTCTCGTCAGTCCGTGCGTGTCTGTCCCTTGTGGAACTGACGCAGAAGCATGACTCAGGCTTAACCCCCAACCACTCTACTGTCTGCTCCTTGTTTACTTCCCTGCCTCACTGCCACCTAGGATGGACTGATTAGTGAGTGTTGTTAGCCTGAAGGGCAACCAGCTGCTTCATTCTCACTGAGGTTGCTTTGGACAAAAGCGCCTGATGAATACATGAACTTAAAGTGACCTGAAGGGGAGCGGTTGAAGCCGTCGTTCCTAGCGGAGTTTTAGGGCAAATCACTCATTTTTTTGTTATTTCTGAGTCAACAGCCTGAGAACGTCAGCTGATATTGAACGTAGAAGCGGTTGGCAGCAAAGTTCTGTTTTTAGAGTGTTTTTGACACGGTTGAGTGGAAGCGGTCGGCTAACAGCTGCCGTTCTCCGTCAGCAGCACCAGACTTGACTCGTCCGCTTTAAGGAGGACATTTCAGAAGTTTTCTCAGCGGCTCTGCTTTCAAACCACCAGAGGAAGCAACCGAGCGTGGTGTCAGATCAGGAGTCTCTGGTGTTTAGAGGCATCGATTCAACCCTCTTCAGCGGAGATTAATGGTGCCTTTCACTTCATGCTTCTGATGGAAAGTGTCGAGCTGAACTTCAGAAAGTTCAAACCAAAATGAGGTTTTTGGGTCTGATTTTCAGACAAGCTCTCAAGCATTTAAGTGTAAAGCAGATATTTTTATTCTGAAATCAGAAGAGTCTCATCTGAAAGGTTTCACATCTTCTCAGATGTATGATCATTCAAACCCTTCAGATTGATCTTTAACCTTCTGAACACGACTTCACACGTTGTGATTCATTCGTGATTCAGAGCGAAAGGCTGAAAGTCTTCGGTTCTTGGGTTGCTTTCAGTCTCTTTAGGGATTTTTATTCAAGCTGGAGCCCTTTTGTATTTAAGAAGCAGGTTAGGTCAACACTGTTTATTCTGGTTCCTCCAGATGTTTTCTTGTGGAATCGGGTTCAGATTAGCTCTGTTACTGCAGGACTTCCGGAAGGTTCTCCGTCCCAGTTTCAGGCAGCAGGTCTTCTTGTTTGTTTTGAACGGACCAAGCTGGACTTAAGTTGACCTTTGTCTTAAATGTTCTATAAATACATGATCATGAATATTTTATTTAATTGGAGAAGTTCGTTTTTTTATACAAACATGCTGTCATCAACCCATCAGTGAAGATCGACTTCCGTCCATCCATCCAGTTCCAGCCACTTTACCCAGAACTGTGTTGTGCTTTAGAGGGGACTAAAACCACCAAGCAGAGATGATTTGGACTCATTGACTCATTGAAGCTGCCTAACAGCAAGAAGGCTGCAGGTTCAAACCCCTGCTGCAGCCAGTTCTCCCTACGCATGTGTGGGTTTTCCCAGGTGCTCCGGTTTCCACGTCAGGTTAGTGGCCTGCAGCGGCGTCCGCTGCATAAAAATAAACAAACATTTATCCTCCAGCAGACAAACTTCATCTCTTGTTAATCAACTTTATTCTCTCTTAAAGGTCAACACTGGTGATTTTATCTCTTTATTAATTACTAATGAGGAAATAAATGTTCCATCAGCCGTTAATTGGTTTAAAGGAAAGGTCATCATAATAAAGTTATAATGGAGAAATGTGTCGGCTGACTGTGGTTTTAATTCACACCCAGAAGTTCTTGTTTGTGCAGAAGTGGCACTAGCATCAAATAATTGGAGTGAAACCGTCTTTGATCTCTGATTTTCATCTTCAGAGACCAGAAAATCTGAAGGTTAGAGACGGTTTTATCCGTGAAGCCTTTCAGCGGGACTCGTTTGGTGCTGCGGCG